TCCTTACTCTGCAGACCCGGTGAGAAAAAGAAAGAAAAGGAAACATTTGTCCTGATTCCCAGTCCAAACTGTTTGAGTAACCAAGTAGTTCCAGAAGATAAAGGTACACTCTTCTTCACTGGGCAACTCAGCTCATATTTGCAGAGAGGGAAGGAGATAGAACTAGGAAATTAACATTTGCAAGGGTAGGAAACAGTCTTATCATGAAGGCACCAGACCATGGCCACCTTAAACCAATGATTGATCTCTACATCACTAATAGCAGGAGACCCTGGCATGTTAATATCTTAGATGTGGTCATAGTATTGGATTCATAGAGAAAAATGTATCTTTTGTTAAAATAGCTCTTAGTGGGATGTAACTCACATACCATTCGATCCACCCATTTAAGTGTAAATTCAATGGCTTTTAGTATATTCACAGAGTTGTGCCTGTGCCTCCACAATCAATTTGAGAACAATTTCATTACCCCCCGAAGAAATCCCTTAGCCGTCACGCTCTAGTCCCTCCATCCACACACGCCCCCGCTCCCAACCCCAGGCAACCCCTAATTTACTTTCTGTCTCCAGAGCTGCCTATTCTGAACATGGAATCATGCCAAATGTGGTCTTTCATGACTGGCTTCTTTCTTTAAAAAAAAATATATTTTATTGATTTCAGAGAGGAAGGGAGAGGGAAAAAGAGATAGAAACATCAATGATGAGAGAGAATCGTTGATTGGCTGCCTCTTGCATGCCCCCTACTGGGGATCGAGCCCGCAACCTGGGCATGTACCCTTGACCAGAATCGAACCCAGAACCCTTTAGTCCGCAGGCCGACGCTCTATCCACTGAGCCAAACCAGCTAGTGCTCGGTACATCTTTTTAATGATAGCCATCGAGTGGTTATGAAGCCATCGCGTGGAATCTCACTATGGTTTTCATTGTCTTTCCCAATGGCTAATGATGCTGATCATCTCTTCACGTGTTTATTAGTCATTTGTGTATCTTCTTTGGAGAAATCTCTATTCAGACCTTTTGCCTACTTCCTTCTTTTTTTAAAATGGATTTTATTTATTTATTTTTTTAGAGCTGTCTTGGGTTCTTAGCAAAATGGAGTGGAACGAATAGAACGTTCTCACATCCCCGCTGCCTCCACACACGCACAGCCTCCCCCACTATCCGCATCCCTTACCAGAGTGGTACATTTCTTACTATTGAACCAAGATCGACACCTCACATTGACCAAAGTTCATAGCTTACATTAGGGCTCACTCTTGGTGTTGTATATTCTCTGGGTTTGGACAAATGTATACTGACATGTACCCACCATTAGAGTATCATACAGGATAGCTTTATTGCCCTAAAAATCCTCTGTGCTCCCCTAGTCATCTCTCCCTCCCCCACAACCCCAGGCAACCCTTCATTTTGTAACTATCTCCTTAGTTTTGCCTTTCCCAGAATGTCCTGGAGTTGGAATCATATACTATGTAGCCTTTTCTGATGGGCTTCCTCACTTGGCAATATGCATTTAAGGTTGCTGTGTGTGTTGTCACGGCTCCATAGCTCATTTCTTTTTAGCTCTGCAAAGTAGTCCATTGTCCGGATGGACCGCGTTTATTTACCCACTCACCTATTGAAAGACATCTTGGCTGTTTCCAAATTTTGACATTTATGAAGAAAGCTGCTATAAACACCCACATGCGGCTTCCTTTGCCCATTATAAAATTGCCTTTGTTTTTTTTAAAGTTGTGGTTGCTTTTATGCATTCTAAATACCAGTCCCTCATCAGCGATGTGAATTGCAAACATTTGCTCCCATGCTTTGTGCTGTCTTTCCACTTCTCGTTGGCATCTTTTGAAACAAGAGCAGGTTTTTCATTTTGATGTCCAGTTCATCTATTTTTGTTGTTGCTT